TTCAAATCAGCAGGCAGAGAAGAGCAGTCACAACAGTGGTGACAGGGCCCCAGCAAAGTCAGTGAAAGCATTGCCTGCAGGAGTGCAAGCTGGCCACATGGATTTACAGAAGACAATAACGGAAGAGATCTTGGAGGTCTTCTAGTCCAACCCTCTATAGAAACAAGGGGCCCTATAACATTCCTGACAAATGGTTGTCCAATCTCTTCTTGAAAACCTCCAGTGATGGAGCACTCCCATTAAACTTCTGGAAGCAAGCTATTCCATTGATTAATTTGTTCTGACTTTCAGGAAATTTCTCCTTAGTTCTAGGTTGCTTCTCTGCTTGTTAGTTTCTATCCATTGCTTCTTGTCCTGCCTTCTGGTGCTTTGGAAAATAGGTTTACCCCCTCTTCTTTGTGGCAGCCCCTCAAATAATGGAACACTGTCTCAAGGATGAAACTTTGACAGCTATGTTCCTCTGCATTTCAACTTGCCTTTAGAGTAAGGGGGGAGGGAGTCTTACTTTCCAGTGGATTAGATGGGAAAATGAAATTTGTACAATTCCGCTGAAGACTGTGAGAACCTGAAACCTTTTCAAGGACACCAGAACAGGTGTGGATTTGAAGCAGACAGTTCCCATAACAAACACAACTTGTTTATACGGACTACGTAAGACATTGGGGGTTTGGCTGGGAAAATTATTGTTTAAGTCTATGAATTGGTGTTAGAACCTCAGAGTTAGTTTTGTTTCAGCAAAATCAATCAACTTAATAAACAGTAAGATTTTTGGAAACAGAATGAAGCTGGAGCTTTATTTGGATTCTCGAGCTGGCTGTTGACACACTGCTATCATGTCACCCCTAGTCCTTATTTTCATTAAACTAGACATACCCAATTCCTGCAACTGTTCTTCATATGTTTTAACCTCCAGTCCCCTAATCATCTTTGTTGCTCTTCTCTGCACTCTTTCTAGAATCTCAACGTCTTTTTTGTACCGTGGCAACCAAAACTGGATGCAGTATTCCAAGTGTGGTCTTACCAAGGCATTGTAAACCCTTATTAACACTTCACATGATATTGATTCTATCCCTCTATTAAGGCAGCCTAGAATTGTGTTGGCTTGGTTGGCGGCTGCAGCACACTGCTGGCTCATATTTAAATGATTGTCCACCAGGACAATCCCTCTCACAGTTAGTACTATTGAGCCAAGTACCACTAAATGTTAGCTTTCAAGTGCCACTAAATCATTTGCAGGATTTGGTGGAAAGACTAACATGGCCATCCCTGTGTTAAGTATTTGGGGAGACTCTTCTGGAAGCTTCCCGTCGGTGTGCACCCTTTGATGCAAAGTCAGGTTTGTGCTCTGGCTGAAGCTTTTCCCACACTCGGAGCAGGTGTAGGGTTTCTCCCCGGTGTGGGTTCTCTTATGTCTAATAAGGCTGGACTGATCCCGAAAGCTCTTCCCACAGTCCTTGCAGCCGTACGGCTTCTCCCCCGTGTGCATCCGCTGATGCGCATTGAGGCTGCCCCTATGACTGAAACTCTTCCCACACTCGTAACATTTGTATGGCCTCTCCCCCGTGTGAACCCTTTGGTGCTGAATGAGACTCGGTTTGTCAGAAAAAGTCTTGTTGCAATCGGCGCACTGATGCGGCTTCTCTCCTTTGTGGATCTTCTGATGCCTCACGAAGTTGGTGCTCTTGTTGAAACTTTTCCCGCATTCCGAGCACTGGTACGGCTTCTCCCCTGTGTGGATAATTTGATGGGAGGCGAGGTGGGCGCTCTGAACGAAGCTCTTCCCACACTCTAAACACGTATACGGCTTTTCTCCGGTGTGGATGATCTGGTGGGACATCAGATGGGCGCTGCGACTGAAGGACTTCCCGCATTCCAAGCATTTATACAACTTCTCCACTTTAGGGATTCTCGGCGGTGTCAGCAGGTTGGATGGACCATGAAAGCTTTTGCTGAAATCGGAGGGTTGATGTTGTCCATCAGCATGGACAGCCTGATACGATGGAGGAATAAAGGAACTAGAAACTTCTCTTGGTTTTCCAGAAATGCATATGAACTCTCTTCTTTATAAAGTATTTCCCTGTCTCTGGTGTTCTTCCCCAAAATACTTTTCTGGGATTCAATCTCGGCAGATATTTCCCAGGGATCACTGAGACATCCATTTCTTTCCTCTCCTTCCTGGTTTTTTTTTTTTTTTTTTTTGCTGCAGTGAGATTTGATGGAACTCTCCAACGGAACAAGGAAGGGGTTTATCGATCCATTCTTCTTGTTGGCTTCCTTCTTGGTGTGAGGGTTGAATTCGGTTCCAGACTTTCTCTTCAAAGGGTTCCTGCTCAGTTTCTTCAGAGAAATTCCCACATAGTTGCCCCTCTGTTACACTTTTCCATTCAGATCCTGTTGGAATTAAGATTGGGAGATGGTTAGAGCTCACACCAAACTATTTAGAAGTAGACTCTCTGAGAATATTTGGGGTTCCCCATTAAATAACAATAATGAGGGAAAAAAGTTCTGGATAATGGATGTCCATGGAGGTTTTCAGTCATCCAGGTCACGGTTGTCCCAAAGGTGCTTTTTCAAGAGGCAACTGGACTTTGTTGTGAAAGTCCAGCTGCCTCTTGAAAAATCACCTTTGGGGCTTCTGGAAGGTGGGCGTGGCAAAACCAGGAGACAGCAGACGACAAGAGAAAGAACTGGATTAGATGGAGAAATGAAATTTCTACAATTCCGCTAAAGACTGTGAGAACATGAAACCTTTTCTTTTTTTTATTGAAAAGTTTTATAAAAATTACAGTATACACCCCAAAGCCCACCCACCCGAACCCCCCCTCTCCCTCCCCCACTTCCCAGAGCTGAGTACAGGGTTGGAGGGATGGGATTTACTTTTTGGATGGCATGCCTATTTAATTTATAATAAAAAGGTTGATAGGGTCTTTAGATCTCATATCTTAAGAATTTCTTTACTTTGGGTTTGGAAGAAATACTATAGAAGTGATTCAAGAATTCCATTATGGGCTATTCCATGGCATGCAATAGAAGGAATAAGGAGAGGAGTTAAGATGGATATTACTTCTTATACACAATTACTTAAGTGGGATGGTAAAAATTGGCAATTAAAATCTATGGATGAATTAGTACAAGAAAATATTATTTATTCATGGTTTCAGTATAGACAATTATTGGAAAGGTGGAAGATAGATTATAAGGTGGGCTTGCTTAGAGAGGATGAGACTTTGTTAAAACAAATTAGAGATCAAAGTCAAACCCATATTAAAAGAATTGATGGTGTCTTGGTGGAACTGGACTCAGAAGCAGAGCTAGTTAAAGATTGTATGGTTAAGTGGGCACAAAATTTTGATGAACCAATTTTATTAGATACTTGGGAGATTATTTGGGTGAGGAATGTTAAATTCACGCAAGCCCAAAACTTACGGGAAAACTTTTATAAAATGTTTTATAGATGGCACCTTGATCCACAAAAAATGTCTCGTATGTATCCAAACCTGCAGCCTAAATGTTGGAGATGTGGTTGCTTATCATATTTGGTGGTCATGTAAAAGTATTAAAGCTTTTTGGATTAAGATATGGTGGAATATTCAAAGAATTTTTAAAAGAAGGATAAAATTTACTCCACAATTGTTTTTGTTGGGTATTGTTTCTGATTGTGATGATAAAGAGATTATTTTAATGTTAAATTTAATTACTGCGGCTAGGTTGTTAATAGGGCAATATTGGAAGAAGGAATTTTTGCCTACTTTGCAAGAATGGTTTTTTAAAGTTTCCTACTTAGCGGAAATGGCAAAAATTTCGGCTTTCTTGAAAGATCAATCGCAAGAGAAGTATCTTTCGGTGTGGAAAAGATGGATAAATTTTATACAATATAAGTATGATATAAGAAAATATTATCTAGCTTTTGAATAATTTATATAAGTTTAAGATATTATTTAGAAGTGTAATTGTTATTATTCTTTAATTTTTTATTTTTTTTAATTTCTTTTTATTTTCTTTTTTGTTTTTCCTCTTTTTGTTTCTTATATATAATGGAGTTAAAGTATTTTACAATTTGTTTATTGTGTGTAATTATATTTGCTTAAGGTTTATTTGGGTTTAAAACTTTTTTTCTTTTAAGATCTAGTTAAGCCTGTATTCAGCTCTGGGAAGAACGGGGGAGGGTTTTGGGGTGGGTTGGGAGGGATTGGGGAAGGGGGTTTTATTGTAAAATTAAAAAAAAAATTAATAAAAAATAGTAATAATAATTACTTACCAAACACGACGAGTTGTGTTTCTACCAAACAGTTCTACTTTGGTTTCATCTGACCATATGACATTCTCCCAATCCTCTTCTGGATCATCCAAATGCTCTCTAGCAAATTTCAGATGGGCCCGGACATGTACTGGCTTAAGCAGGGGAACACATCTGGCACTGCAGGATCTGAGTCCCTAGCGGCGTAGTGTGTTACTGATGGTTGTCTTTGTTACGTTGGTCGCAGCTCTCTTGCAGGTCATTCACTAGGCCCCCCCGTGTGGTTCTGGGATTTTTGCTCACCGTTCTTGTGATCATGTTGACCCCACGGGGTGAGATCTTGTGTGAAGCCCCATATCGAGGGAGATTATCAGTGGTCTTGTATGTCTTCCATTTTCTAATTATTGCTCCCACAGTTGATTTCTTCACACCAAGCTGCTTGCCTATTGCAGATTCAGTCTTCCCAGCCTGATGCAGGTCTACAATTTTGTTTCTGGTGTCCTTCGACAGCTCTTTAGTCTTCACCATAGTGGAGTTTGGAGTGTGACTGTTTGAGGTTGTGGACAGGTGTCTTTTATACTGATAACAAGTTCAAACAGGTGCCATTAATACAGGTAATGAGTGGAGGACAGAGGAGCCTCTTAAAGAAGAAGTTACAGGTCTGTGAGAGCCAGAAATCTTGCTTGTTTGTAGGTGACCACATACTTATTTTCCACCATAATTTGCAAATAAATTCTTTCCAAATCAGACAATGTGATTGTCTGGATTTGTTTTCTCATTTTGTCTCTCATAGTTGAGGTCTACCTATGATGACAATTACAGGCCTCTCTCATCTTTTTAAGTGGGAGAACTTGCACAATTGGTGGCTGACTAAATACCTTTTTGCCCCACTATAGAAACAGGAACTCTGATGAAATTACATTTAATTAATTAAATTAGTAATGAGATCCCTGAGGCTGATGCTGCGAAACTAAATACTGGATATCTGGCACAATTTTTGTAAAGAACAAACGAAGGTTTCCTCTTTCGGAAATATTCAGGCGGTTTCTTTCTTTGGTCATAATATGATTAACAGCACTAAAGCCTGATTCCACAAGATAGGAGGCAGGGGAAAGGTATCAATAAACTGAATATCATTTTCCACATATTTGGATATAAGGCAGGCATTTTTTTACTTTGCCATAGGTTTTCATATCCACCACTATCGAATTTATGTTTACTTTCTTCATCATATCTAATTTCTAACAGTTCTTCTTGGCAAGTTATATCAGCCTCTTCAATATTTGCGGTAAAAGGATTTTTCATCCAGTCATACACCTTCAATTTCAAAATATCTTCAAATCGTTTTTCCATGTCCAATTTAAGTTCGTTGAGGTGGCTACTGACTCTGTCAATATCCTCTGGAGTTACATCATCTTTTATAGATGATAATTCAGGAAACTGATGAAATTTTCTCTTCAATAGATTATAACGAAGTAGTTCAAGTTTGTCAATAAATAATGACACAATACTTTGGCAACCTATAAGAGTCTTATTAGCTCCTTGAAGCTGCAAATTGACATCATGAAACCTCTTGAAAATATCTGCCAAATAAAAGGCATCATTCTTTACTGTTTTTAACTGTTGACACAGATTGGTCTCATTATTACTTTCCAAAAATTGTATGACACTATCATATAATGCTAAAGATGTACCCTTTGACAGCCACCGAACTTCTGTGTGCAAAAGTAACGTAATAAAATCTTCATTATTGTCCTGGCAAAGTTGTCGAAACATTCTATCATTTTTTGGTTTGGATTTGATCTTGTTTATGGCTCGAATTATTATAGTTAATGATGAATGGAGAGTTGTACTTAGATGTTTTCCTACAAGATGTTGTCTGTGCACCACACAATGAATACATAAAACATTTGGCACTTCTTCCTTCAAATAAGCAACAAATCCACGATAACAACCTACCATTGATGGTGCTCCATCAGTAGCACGTGCAACAATATTATTCAAAGGAATATTATTTTTTGTAAAGTATGATTTCACAGTATTAAATATAGATAATCCTCTTGTATCTGTAATGAGATTTATTGCGAATAGCATTTCTTCTTGTTATGTATTGTTTTCATCAAAATAACATACATATGTCATCAATTAAGCATTATTATCTGCAGTGGTAGACTCGTCCAATTGCATAGAAAATGAAATATTTTGGAGAATACTTATCAGGTTTTTTTCAACATTAACTGCCATTTCATCAATTCGTCGCTTTACTGTGCTATCGCTTAGGGGCAACGTTTTTAAATTTTCAGGTATATCCTGATGCATTACTGTTGAAATAAATTCTTTTGTAGAGGGTATTATTACTGTTTCTCCAATATTATAGCTTTTACCACTTTTTGCAATTAATTGTGAAATGCAATAAGCGCAAATTAATCCATCTTCGTTCGCTGCAGAGTGTTTCTTAAATGATGCAACGATTGTTGAACGATTTTGAAATTTTTATATATTTCCTGAAAATATTCAATGGGCTTGTCCTTATCATTTGGATGCTTTGTAGAAAGATGTTCTCGCAATCGACTTGGCTTCATTGCCTCATTGGATAATGTTTTATGACACATAAATACATTGGGTGTTGTTTATTTACAACAGATTCTATGAAACCCATCTTCAGATACACTGGCAAATAGCCACAAGCGTATTTCTTTTTTTGAGACATGGCCTCTACCTTGGTCTTGAGGGAATGCTCAGTGGAGTTTGGTTTGCCCCGATCAGTGCCTGTCACAGTAGGATGAAGAGAGAGCCTGGTTCTTGTCAGAGATGCCTGAAACCTCTATGACTGAGGGCTCTGTGTGGCTCTCAAAATGGCAGCCGCGCCAAAATTAGCAGCCGCTTGTATTTTGGCCAGGCCTTCCCAGCCTTGAGGGGCCCTGAGGGGAAGCTTGTTGTTTGTTGTGCCTTTAATTTCCACCCCCCGGAGCCAAAAATGAGGCACTTGCGGTTTTATCTTGTTGCGCAGCCTCTGTTGTGATACGGATCGTCGAGGAAGTCGACTGGAGCCTCGCAACAACGGCGCGCCTCGGCGAGGCTCTCTGGCCTCCGAGAGCTCCGTGCGGGATTCCACAGCTGAGGCTAACACCCCGCGCCTTCTGGAAAGCTCTGTGAGCCGATCGGAGGGCTCGATGGTTCCGAAAATTTAAACGGCTCGATTGAACCCCTACCGCCCACCAGGAAAGCTGGAATGCCCACTAGTGGGAAGTAGGGACCAGGTTGACTACCACTGCCTTAATGCTATGTTTTTTGCTATTTCAGCTAGTTAGTAGTGGAAATATAAATTTCCAAGCCGGGAGTATTCTGAACCATATAGATCTATGTAACCTCATATAGCTCTATGTAACCCTAACTAGAGAGCATGTATCAGTATGTCAGTGGAAGGAGTTTCTAAAGGGCATTGGGAGACTTCCTGGACACAAGTCAGATTGGAATGTCTTTGTCTGAAAGAAGCATGGGCTATCAGATGTCACCCAATGAGCCTGCGCAGTTATAAAGATGGTATGGAAGAGAGCAGCATCCTTTTACTTGTAGGAATCAACAAAAGATGTAATTTCCAGAAGTAACAACACAGCATGAATGCAAGTAATCTTTGTAATCTTTCTGATCAAAATATATTTCTTTTTGTTATGAAACCATTTCTACTGAGTTATCTATCTGACTTGATTTAAAGAAGGCGTTTTTAACTCACAGTCTGAATAGAGTATGTAGTGGGAGGGGGGTGAGCTGAAGCTGCAGCAGCACCAGAGAGGCCCGGGGAGAATCAGCTGGAGCTGCAGTGTTGCTGGGGCTCTGCTGAAGCCCTGGGATCGGCCCGTGTGGCTCCAGCTGATTGGGGCTTCCAACTGCCTCGGGGTGGCTGGCAGCTGCACGCAGTCTTCAGGGGAAGAGTCAGCTGGAGCTGTGAGGCTGCCGTGGCTTGGCAGGGACCCCAGAATCAGCACATGCAGCTCCAGTCAATGAGTGCTGTGTGAAAAAGCCAGCCAGGCAGTGAGTGAACGCATGGGGGAGAGGAGAATATAAAAAGGAGGGGTTTGGGTAGAAAGGAGGAGTGAGAGAGCAGAGAAGGCAATAGGGAGGAGAGATGTCGGTGGGACAAGCCTGAAGGAGAGAAGGGGATGGCATAAGTGAGGCTTCTGTGGAGGAAGCCTGAGGGAGAGAAGGAGTCAGCAACTGGCCCTTTGAGGGCAACCATAATGCTGATGAGGCCCTCAATGAAATTGAGTTTGACACCCTTGCTCTACATGAAACCTTTGGGAGTGGCCCTTTCCCCCCACCATGGGGCAAAGTCTCCTCCTCCTGGTGCCATCCTGTTGTCCCTCTTAAAAACAACTTTAGGGAATTCCAGGAGAGAAAGGCTGCTTGGCTTAAAGGAAACTCTTCTGCAAAGTCAAGTGCAGGTAGTCCTCAAGCTACAACAGTTCATTCAGTGACTGTTTGAAGTTATAACGTCATCCCCGCAGTCATGTGATCAAAATTTGGATGCTGCTGATGATAATGATAATGTTGGAAGGGACCTTGGAGGTCTTCTAGTCCAACTCTCTGCTCAGGCAGCAAACCTATATATGGGGTCCCCAACCCCCGGTCTGTGGACCGGTACCAGGCTGCAGCATGCCAGCAACTGGGCCACACAAACAAGCAACGGCCCATCCATGGGATGCAGGCAGCACACAAAACCACACACCCTCCAGTCCATGGAAAAACCTCTCTCCATGGAACCAGTCCCTGGTGCCCAAAAGATTGGGGACCTTTGCCTTATACCATTTCAGATAAATGGCTGTCCAGTCTCTTCTTAAAAACTTCCAGTGTTGGAGCATTCACAGCTTCTGGAGGCAGGTTGTTCCACTGATTAATTGTTCTAACTGTCAGGAAGTTTCTCCTTAGTTCCAGGTTGCTTCTCTCCTTGATTAGTTTCCATCCATGGTTTCTTGTCCAGCCTTCTGGTGCTTTGGAGAATAGACTGACTTCCTCTTCTCTCTGGAAACCCCTGAAATATTGGAACACTGCTATCATGTGACACCTAGTCCTTCTCTTCATTAAACTAGACAAGATATTTCTTTGGATGGTTCATATTTATGACAGTTGCAGTGTGCCGGAATCATGTGATTACCTCTTGTGAACTTCTGACAAGCAAAGTCAATGAGGAAACTAGATTCACAACGGTGTTACTAACTTAACAACTGCAGTGATTCATTTAACAAACACAGCAAGAGAGGTTGTAAAATGGGGCAAAATTCACTTAACAACTGTCTAACTGAGCAACAGAAATTTTGGGCTCAATTGCATTTGTAAGTCGAGGACTACCTGGGTTTTCACAGACCCATTCTGGCTTGTCCGATGAGGCAGTTGCTGTTTTGCCTAATTCAGGTTGAGGACGAATCTGGGGCTTGGTTCATCTTTCCTCTCCACATTTTCCTCTTCTTTTTTAAGATATTTAATTTAATAGCAGGAGCAGTGAAGGGTTGGACAATGAATCAGAACACACAGTTATAGCTGATTGGTTGAAGAGGGCTGGCTACTGTATGAGGCAATCTAAGCTTTGATTGGTTACCTTGAGTGAAAAGGGGGAGGTTCTTTGTTTCCCGCCTTTTTTCCTCTGAGTGCCCTCTATAATTTACCTCATAATACGTTGATTTACCTGATATGCTGCTGTTTGCCTGATTATCTTATTTACTATTAATATGTTTATTTATATAAAACTATATGTTTGTGTCAGCATCTCTGCCTCCATTTGGACACCGGCTGTGCAATTCCCTGACTTTTTCCCCTGCAGTCCCTGATCGCAGAGGAGCTGCGGACAGGGACACACAAACACACACACCGTTTCATGAGGGACTGACAATCTTCTGCCCACCAAAGGGGCTTGCTAGTTCGTGCCCTTCCAACACACACACAGACACGGACCCACATACCCCATTCTGTCAACATAGCCATGCCATTTACAACACCTCTGCGCCACCTTCCCCTTTTCTCTCCTTGCCCTTTGCGGTGGGCAGAAATGAATCTGAAATGAAATAGAAATGAAACAGACTGGGATTTGTTGCTTGAGTCTTTACTGAAGCTCAAAAGGTTTACATGAAGTCAGTTGTCACTATTCTAGAAGCTCAGCAACCGGGGACCACCTGCAGCTAAAGCAAAGGGGGAGCAAGGAAAGCGGATACAGGAAGAATCGAGATGGAAGCGTCAACAAGGAGAGGTCCCTTAAGATCTTACTGCATCAGTCTTCTTGGAGAGAAACGCCTCTTCAGAGACAGAGGAGAGGAAGGCACGGTTCAAGGCAAGGTCCTGTTAGGAAACAGAACCTATGCCAATGGGTGAGGGGGAGGCTAGCACAATAGGCCTCCAGAGCTTTTGGGGGCTGATTCCCTTTTTTCGTTCATTTTTTGGTCTGCCTGTGGGAATAATGGTCTCCTGAAAGAGCTGCACTGGGTTTTCCATGACAAATGAAGGCACATATACATCTCCCAGGATAACGTTGCAAGATCCAATCTGGGTCGGTCACCAGGACCAGAGGTTTACTGTTCTGAGCATTCAAACCCTTGCCGAGCCCATCCTCATGAAACCTCTCTTTACTGGAATACAGGTAGTCCTTGACTTACAACACTTCGTTTAGTGACTGTTCAAAGTTACAGCGGCACTGAAAAAAGTGATTATAACCGTTTTTCACACTTAAGACCGCTGCAGTATCCCCAGAGTCACATGATCAAAATTCCGAAACTTGGCAACTGACTCATATTTATGATGGTTGCAGTGTCCTGGGGTCATGTAATTACTTTTTGCTGCCTTCTGTCAATGGGGAAGTCAGATTCACTTAACAACCGTGTTACTAATTTAACAACTATAGTGATTCACTTAGCAGCTGTGACAAGAAAGGTCGTAAAATGAGGCAAATTCACTTAGCAAATGTTTCACTTAGCAACAGAAATTTTGGGCTCAATTGTTATCGTTAGTCAAGGACTACCTATATGCACTTTGGGCTATTCTGTGAGTCGCAATTATGTGATGCCTTCCTATTGGTTCATTGGGATGTTGATGGCTGGTGATGGGCTTTTGTTTCCTTGTGCTGTCATGTTCAACATTCTCCATAAGTTTTGAGGTGGGCAGGCAAAGTTCATCAAAATATATCTATATCTTAATAGAAATGCTTGTTGCTGATAATAGTTAATAGATAATATTAAGTTTGGCTGTGCAATGTAACCTAAATCATATAATCTGTGTGTCATAATTATAGAGATGTGTTCATGCTATGTAGAAACCATTTTACAAGAAGTGTCAGTGTCAACTAAAAGTCACAGATGTTGTAAGATAGCACCCGTGCAGAAAGGTGTGGTAAGACAACCGTTTGTGTGAACTTCTCCTTTTACTTATGTAGCTTCAAGATATAAACTTCTCTGTTTTAGTGTGTCAAAGGTAGATAAGAGCCACCCTAAGGCTAAGGCGTGGGTGGTTAATGCTATAAGAACTACTCCCTGAGAATAGCTCAGGGTTCAGAATTTGTCATGTGAATGCTCTGAACCATTGTGCACAAATAAAGCCTGTTTTCTCCAACCCTTCGTGGTCTTGTCTTCTGATGTAAGTATCGTGGTTTTTTCCACAACAGTTTGATATTCCAAAGAACCACTGTCCTGACTATAGGGAGAAGGAGAGCGCAAAAGTTAGACGTCTGGCCACTCACCCAACTGTTCCTCTGTGCCACTTAGATTGTCATATGGGAAATTCTGTTTTTTGAGTAAGAGGGAAAACCACAGTTTCCTGCACAGCCTGACACCAGGCTACCTGAGTGGTGGGCTATGAACGAGCTGGAGAGGGCAAGGATGTGTCTCTTCAAAGGGTTGGTGGACCATCTTCAGGTCAGTTAAGCAGGACAGATGAATGAAATTATAGGGTATAACCTCTTCAGATCCAGATCTGTAAGGTAAGGGCTAGATGAACAAGGAAGAGGAACGAGGTTGTTTGATTTCTAGAATCGTTCTAGGAATTGGATTACACTATTCATACTCTTCCTCGTACTTGGAAACTGGATTGACCCCATATCTATCAGCAAGGTGATGCCATGGAATCCGTCCTTGAGGTGAAGCCAGGTGACAGGGACACCATTGTCTTCCAGCCTCTTCTTATAGAGCAAGCCATCATCTCGGAAAATGTCATATTCGCAGGTTAAAAGGAAAGTCTCTGGAAACTGCTGGATGACGGCGTCTTCTGCCAGGAGTGGGGAAAATATGGGGTCGAAAACTGTTTTGTATTTTTGGAAAAGATCTTCTGAAAATGGACCAGGTACAAACGGCACGTAACCCCGGCCTTTAAATTCCTCCGGAATATGTTCTGCACTGATCCATTTCTGATACTTTGCCATGAGTTCCTGCGGGACATGGGCATTGGCCATAATTTCATTGACCCCAGCACTGGTTCCTGAGAGATACATTGTGCCAAGACGAACAGCCTCTTTCTTGACTAAGGGGGGAATGGACTGGTTTTGCTGGTAAGAAGGTAAATTTACATCCAGGCATTGTAGGTAAGGATTGATTAGTATGTGGGCCTGGGGCTGTGGCAGGTCCTTTGTCATCAGAAGTTGCTGAGCAGTGCTGGCAACAAGTGTGCCTCCGCTGCTGTCGCCAGCCAGCACGATCCGTTTCGGGTCCACCCCGTAGTCCTGCGCATTCTTCAGAAAATGTGATACGGCAGTGTAGCAGCTGAGTTGTTGAGCTGGATAGGGGTGCTCTGGCGCCAAGGGGTATCTGAAGCAACAGTCAGTCAAAATACAATCTTAGAAATACACTGGCATTCCTATTCTGAAGATGAATAAATTATAGCTGCCCCACCCCAAAAAGACTGGGCAGCATGCAACAACCAATAGAGGCAGTCCTCAACTTACAACAGTTCATTTAATAACTGTTCAAAATTACAACATCACTGAAAAAAGTGACTTAGGACCGTTTTTCACATGACCGTTGCAGCATCCCTGTGGTCACATGATCAAAATTAGGGCACCTGGGAACTGATATTTATGACAGCTGCAGTGTCTCAGGCTCATGTGATCCCCTTTTGTGACCTTCTGACAAGCAAAGTCAGTGGGATTCAGTTAACAACTGCGTTGCTAACATAACAAAATTGCAGTGATTCACTTAACAACTGTGGCATTTTATGTTAAGACATAAAATAGGGCACTTAACTGTCTCACAAAACAACAGAAATTTTGGGCTCAGTTGTGATTGTAAGTCAAAGACTAGCTGTAATTCTGTAAACTACTCTGAAGTAACCCGCGGCATCCTTGTTAGTTCCTTATGGCTGTCAGTATTTCAGCACAGGGCTTTTCAGCTGGTGAAACGCGTACCACCTGTGGCAGGTGGTACGGGACCATCCTAGAAGTGGTAGTGGGGGGAGGGGAATGAGCTGAACCGGCGGCAGCACTGCACAAGCCTGAACGAGAGACGGCTGGAGCTGCAGGGCTGTCAGGGCTCAGCAGAAGCGCCAAGATCAGCCCTGGATTTTGGCTCTTTCCTTTGCGGGGAGGGGGCCAGGAGGAGGGAGGAGGCTTCCATGTTCCTCAAATCTGGGGCAAAGCAAAGCAACAGGAACCGGAAATAGCCAATTGTCTGGCTGACAGTGGCTGTGCTGTGCTGGAAGCGCAAGGCAGAGGTGCCCTGAAAACGGATCAGAGAGAAAGCTGAGCAGAAGGGAAATGTGAAAAAAAAAACCCCAAAACCCCACCTCCAGACAGCCTTTTCCCCTCCTTTCTGAACACCCTGATGGTCCCCTGGGATGGGCGAGGGAGGCAGCAAGAGGAGAGGGGCGCCGCCTGCTACGGGTCTTCAATCTGTACTTCATCTTGGACAAGTAAGTGTGCGGGCGTCATGGCGTCTGTGCAGGATGAGGCTGGGCTGCACGGGACGCTTTGTTCTGGGTAGGGTTGTAGCAGCCCTGGCAGTTTTTCAAAACTCCGCAGCTGTTTTTTCCCTTTGCTTTGGGTGCCAATTTGGAGAAAAAACACCTGGCGGATGTTGCATTCCTCTTTCCTCTGGAGAAGGTTGAAGGAAAAAGTTTGGCTCCTTCACTGGTTTCTCTTTTTGCAACGTTGCTTTTGGGGGGGGGGAGTTTAGTAAAGAGCAGCTGTCAGCTTTAGCCTGTCTGATTAGACTTACAAAGGCCTGTTTCCAAAGGAAATCCCTCGCTCGGCTTCCCTCGTGGGATGCAATCCCCGCGGAGCAACCGTTTAAGACAGGGGAGGGCAACCTGGGCTCTTTTATGACTGGTGGACTTCAACTCCCAGAATTCCTGAGGCAGCCATGCTGAGGGGAAAGGGAGAGGTTTCCAAGCTGAGCCAGGCTGGCTCAGGAATTCTGGGAGTTGAAGTCCACGAGTCATCAAAGAGCCAAGGTTCCCCACTCCTGGTTTGAGATCTCTGAACTCCAGAGTTAATCTGAAACTTGCTCCATGGCTGTGATGGATCATTGATTCAATCAATAATTAGAAGTTAGCATCTAGATACCCATGAAAAAGAAATACCTTTGGGAAATATTAAACAGGCAGGAACAATAGGAAAAGAGGTAGAAAGCCTAGGCCCAGAAACCAACTATTACAAATACGAAAGGCTGCTCCAAAAGAAACATCCATTTCCCTCTCTTAGAAAAGTCAAGCCAAAAAACAAAAGTACCAGAGAAGAGTCTCTCTCTCTCTCTCTCTCTCTCTCTCTCTCCCTCCTCTCTCTCTCTCTCTCTCTCTCTCTCTTTCTCTCTCCCCTCTCCTCTCCTCTCTCTTCCTCCCCCACCTGTGATAAGCACTAGCCTTGAACAAACCAAAAGAAAGCTGACAGGTTTGCCCTATCTCAGTGATGGCGAACCTTTTAGAGACCGAGTGCCCAAACTGCAACCCAAAACCCACTTATCCATCGTTGAGTGCCGGGTGGGTGTGGCCCATTGGCTGGGTGTGGCTGCGGTGGTAACGGAAGACTGGGTGGGACTAAAAAGTTCAATCAAGCAATTCCAACTTTGCAAGATCTTTTTTTTTCCTGCAAGAAGCTGAAATTGACTGAACCTTTTTTTTTTTTGCACATGGCAGCAGAGGCCTAAAGCGAAAAGGTTTTATAAAACCCAGCTGAAGGCCTAGGACTCGGGCGATAGAACGCATGCCCACAGAGAGGGCTCTGTGTGCCGCCTCTGGCACCCGTGCCATAGGTTCGCCACCACTGCCCTATATACACATAGAAACCAATAACAGGATTAACCCCAGACACACCAGCGCCTACAACAAGATTAACCTAGATACACAAAAACCTCATCAACAAGTTATTTCCTTCCCTGGGTCATAGGATTAATCAATCCTGCTGAAAGGGAAAAAAACCAAGCTAGGAAATTAAGAAGAACAAACTTCTTATAAATCTCATCAAAACTTAAAATAGGAAAAAGAGTATAAATTGTACCATGCATTTAGGTGATTTTTACTAGCTAGTCCAGAAGTCATTGCTGAATCACTTCTCTGTCTGGCTTCTGTAGTAAAATCCACTTTCTGGCAGTTTGCTTCGCTCAGTCTCAACTATTTTTATTTTTATTTATTTTGAGCCTATTTCAGTATTTTCCTCTTAAGTCTGAGTTACTCCCAGTTGCTTTGTTCTCCATTAATGAAATGCACATTCCCTCTCCTTTTTTTCTATTTTTGCTGCTTTTTCTGCAGCTGCAGGAATTGTATCCAGGGAGGAAATAAAATGCTTGCTCATGTTATTTGTCCTACAACTGACAGGATGCATTCTGTTTGCATAAGAGGTTTGGGGCTGTATTCTTAAATATTGTAACTTTGGACAGTCACTAAATGAACTGTTCTAAGTCTAGGACTAGACTTCGCCCAGCCTGGTTGGAAAAGCGCCCAGACGGGGAGAGAGAGCGAGAGAGAGAGCGAGAGAGAGAGAGCCAAGAGGGTGACAGCACTGGCAGAGCTTAATTCAGCTTCCTCCACAGAAAAGGCCGCGAAGCAGCGCAGCCTCCCTTAGGAGATGCTCGACAGAAACGAATCTGGCACTGCAACGGCCCCCAGTTCGAAGCTGTGCGGAGATGGATAGAGGAGCGGTGTCTAGGTTCCTATGACCATCGGAAATATGTGTTTTCCGATGGTCTTAGGCGACCCCTTTGAGAACCTCTGGTCTAGAGAGAGAGAGAGGTTATGGCAGTTGGCTTTTGTGCCTTCTGTGACACAGGTCAGCTTGAGCTCACTTACCCGATGCATGCGATCACAGTGTCACTTTGCCGGGCAATGAAGTGGCACAGCCTTTCGTGGGATCCTGAAATATCACAAAGAATTGTTTGAATTGATGTTCAGATGAGAATGTCCCATTTCTCCCACCCCTAACTTGTATGTTTTTATCTGAGCACATGCATTTTTCCCCTTTGGTCCTTGGCGTGCTGCAGAAGAATCAGGGTACCCCTTAGGCCAGGGATGGCGAACCTTTTAGAGACCGAGTGCCCAAACCACAATCCAAAACCGACTTATTCATCGCAAAGTGCCAAGGCCGCATTGGGGGTAGGCGTAGCCCACTGGGTGGGTGTGGCTGCTGTGGTCATGGCAGATTGAGTGGGCATGGCTGGGGTGGGTGTGGCCATTTTGATGTTGCTTGTGGGGGGATGCCTGTGGGGGCTGGCAGAATTGGGGGAGATCCAGGGGGTCTCTGGTGGATGTGGCGTTGGCAGGAGGTTCGTCCTGAGGGGTGAGGCAGGGGTAGGGCGGGGGTGCCATTGCTGCAGGGCAAGGCGAGACAGGGGCGGCTGCTGCCTGATACCATCAGCCCCCGCACACAGGCCAGCGACGCATGGGGGCGTGCTCTACCACCTCTCCTTGAGCTTGCTAGCCAGCTGCTTCACCTCCTGTGTGCTGGGTGGGGTTGCCGCTCTGGGTGCCAGCGGGGGCCTAATGGACCTGTGCAAGCTGACTATGGCGGCAAGTGTGCCCACAGAGAGGGCGCTAAGTGCCACCTCTGGCACACGTGCCATAGGTTTGCCATCACTGCCTTAAGCCAAACATTTGTCCGTCCTTCTTTCATATCAATCAAACAATTATTTGGAAAACCTACGGGGGCTTCCAAACAAGCCTGCTCCTCCATGGATCCAGACAAGTCCTCGTCTGTTCTCTGGACTTGCTCTTTTGGGACAACAGACCATCACCGGCACTCTGTCAAAAAGCATTTCCTTGACAATCAAGTCAGATGGTTTCCTGGGATGTATTCCATTCCAAAGGAGCCTCCATATGAAAAATTCATGGCAGATGCCAAGTTTATCCAGAATCCTGGCCTGCACAGGGGAAAGACAAGAAAGAAACCAAAGAATAACACACAAAGGATCTGTTTAGATCAGCGGTTCTCAACCTATGGGTCGCGACCCCATTTGGGGTCGATCGTCCATTTTACGGGGGTCACCAAAGAAGGCGATCCGCCATTTTCCCCCCTCAGGGGGCGCCGCCGTGCATGCGCACCGCGCATGGGGGCGCCGCCGCACAGCGCATGGGGTGCCGCCGCGCATGCGCACTGCGCATGCGTGGCACGTTTGTGTGATGGGGGTCGCCGTCACACAAACGTTGAGAACCACTGGTTTAGATGCTATCCAGAGCGAGTTCTAACAAAAGAGACTATTTTGAGCTCAGGGTTGAAAGGAGGGGTCCTTGGTGCTCTCTGAGCTTGCTTGTGCATCCTCAGGTACACCAAGTGTAGGACTGTGCCATTCAGCCGAACCAACTGAAAGCAAAGCTAGAGTCCAAAGGCAGAGACTTACCAGTCCGAAAAGAATTCTTACAAACAAATAGAGAAGGCGCAGTTTTCTCCCCTGGCTGATTCCTGGCGGGATATGCATGCCGATGATATTAAAGTAAAGGATCCACCCGAGGAATAACAACGTGATTGAAATGCAAAAGTAAAATACCAACATCCACAGGGTTTGGCCCAATATCGTTTCCATGGTGGAAAGGTCCTGAGATCAGAGATGGGATTTCTTTTCCCCTATCTGGCCAAAGAAAATTGTCTTAAAGCTTAATTTGCTTTCTTCTTGGTCCGTGAGCTCTATATTGCCCTTAGTTCTTTTAACAATAGGTGACACGTACACCACGATGCCTTCTCTTATACCATTTCAACAGGTACGATCAGTCAACTGATCATTTTTTTTATTCACTATTTAACTGGACCAACAAGTTCTGAACAAACAGAGCTCTTTCAAAAGTCTTTCTCTTGAGGGTTACATCATCCAAGATCGGTTGAGTTTACTTTATGATCACCCCACAGATTAAATGAGGAGGTTCATTTATCTGTATTCCTTAATTATGGCTTTCAGAGGCACACTGTAATCTGAGTGAGCTTCTGGGCACCACGTTCCCTGACACAGAAAAATGACTTTACACAGATTTTGAGATGACAACAGCCTCAACAAGGTTTAATGCCGAGTGGATTTTGCCATTTGAGTTGTAATTTGGTATTTTTGCTTCTGCTGGTCAGAGGCAGATCAGTTCAACTAAAATTGTCTAAAATCGCCGTCATAGCAGTGTTCCAATATCTCAGGGGCTGCCACAAAGAAAAGGGAGTCAAGCTATTCTCCAAAGTGCCTTAGGGCAGGACAAGAAGCAACGGATGGAAACTAACCAAGGAGAGAAGCAACCTACAACTAAGGAGAAACTTCTTGACAATTAGAACAATTAACCAGTGGAACAATCTGCCTCCCGATTGGACAATTATTTGTCTGAAATGGTATAGGGAAGCTTGGGGGGAGGGGAAAACAGGGCTACATGCATGCAGCTTGACTTGTACAAGTAGCGGGCTGGCACATACAGCTTGATTGTAAGTTGACCTGTATATGCCCATGCATGCAAGCCCACTTGCGCAAGCTGCACACACACAATGGCTGGCTGCTCACGTGGCTCGGTTGCGAATAGGCCACAGCCCAATAGTAGGCCACAGTCCAGGGACTGGGGACCCCACTATAGGGTTTCCTGCCTGAGCAGGGGGTTGGACTAGAAGACCTCCAAGGTCCCTTCCAATCCAGAGCCCTGAAATGCAGTTCTTTGCCCTTCCTTAATACTGGGACATTTGTAGATGGGGAAATTGCAACAATCACTATCGGTTTGTTTTATGTTTGCAAGGTTGAGGTATTAAGCAAAGACACATGGTGAACAAACAAGCTTCTTTATTGATCTCTTCTTACAACCAGCAACAGCAAAATGGCACGCAGGCCATTTATAGAGTCCTGAACTCAGACAGTGTCAGCCAATAGGAAGCTGGCTGTTTTCGCGCCTTGCGCATGCGTACAAGGCTGGCGACAGCCAGTCTGGTCCCAGGCAGCTTTTGGTCCTGGTAGTGCTTCACAAAAGCCAAGAAACAGGAACGTTGAACAGTCAACAAGTATAATGCACTGTGTTGACATAAAGTTAGCACTGGAAGTAACCTGCTTCCAGTGCCTTAAATACAGCCACCTACCACGCCCAGAGCACACACCCCAATTAACACCCGTGACCATACTCCACCCTCGCCTCGCCCAACCCCAGTTGATAACCCACACCCCACCAATAACCTAATTAACAATGCTGCGCTCTCCTGCCCCAGTCCACGCCCCACACATAGAAGTGAAATGAACAAAGCCGGCAACACTCTGCTCTACCGTCCAGTCCTCTGCTCCAACGTCCACTAATGACAGACCCAGCGACACTTGGAAGTCCAATAAACATAAGTACGATGCAGCCTCCCCTCCGTTCGCCACGTTTCGTCCGTGCTGTTGTTACTAGCCATCTAAGTATATCAATTACTAGCCATCCTAGCTGGTCACATGGGCTCATCAGCTGCCGCTCTAGGAATCCCGGTTGCCCATCTTGGTGGTTGCAATGGCGGCGCGAAACGCGGACCCGCCGGATCAGCTGTTGGGGCCTCTCCAATGTTGCCATTGTGTGAGCCGGTAACGGGGCTACTGGAGGGTGAGTGGTGCGCTGGGTCTGATATTCGGCCCCCCTCACCACATGTCCCCCTGGAAGAAAGCATACTAAGATGAGTAAGGCCTTTTGTCATGCACATGAAGAGTTAGTCGGCCCCTCCCCAGGTTTGCGTGGAAATTTCCTATGGTATCTACGAATCAGGTCGGGAGCAAAGACATCCCCCTTCCACACCCAGGAGGCATCGGACAGGGGATATCCCTTCCATAAGATTAGATAATAAAGTTTACCCCCCTTCACCTGCGAATCCAGGATATCTTGTACTTCATACCGCCCTGGGGTGATGGGCCCTGGGGTTTGTTCTTGGGGTTTCTCCCTTACAGGTTTCAACAAGCTTACGTGAAAGACTGGATGCACCTTATCATGCAAACTCGGTAAATGAAGCTTCACCGTCACCGGATTAATAATCTGGACTATGCGGAAGGGTCCGATGTACTTTGGTGCTAGTTTTTTGCACGGCACCTGCAACTTTATATATTTAGTCGATAAATACACTAGATCCCCCACCCAAAACTGAACCTGTAAGCTACGAGTTTTATCCGCCTGGTGTTTAGTTGCTTGTTCTGCTTTTATCAGGGCCTTTTTCACTGTACCCCATACCTCACCTACGTGGTTAAACCATTCATTGGGGTGACGAGGCTGGGATTCCTGGGACCCACACTCTGGCATCGGGACAAAGTCGCGTCCATACACCACCTGAAAGGGTGTGAGGCCGGTGCTCTTATGTACTGCGTTATTATATGCGACTTCCGCTAATGGCACCAATTCCACCCAATTCGACTGTTGATAGGATACGTAGCTCCTCAGATATCGCTCGACAGCAGCATTGGCCCACTCCACTGCCCCGTTGGTACTGGGATGATACGCAGAGCTGAGACCTTGAGCAGTACCAATGAATCGAAGGAACTGACGCCAGAATTGAGCCGTAAATTGTACGCCACGGTCCGAAATAATTTGACGAGGTGCCCCATGCAAACGATAAGTATGTGTTAAAAACATTCTGGCCAGTCCTCTTGCCAACGGCAATCCCTTACAGGGTATGAAATGGGCTTGTTTTGAAAACAAGTCAACCACTGTCCATATAATGGTGTAACCCTGTACCTCCGGTAAGTCAACTATAAAATCCATTCCAATGTCCTGCCATGGCTGATTTGGATCAGATACTGGTTGTAACAGTCCCACTGGTTTTTTGGGTACTACCTTTGATTGTGCACAGATGTGACAGCCCTTCACATAAGTTTCAATGTCTCTTCTCATTCCAGGCCACCACAATTGACGTCTGGCTAGGTGTAACGTCTTCAGGAAACCGAAATGGCCGGCTAATTTAGCATCATGACAACGGTGATACACGCGATCTCGTAATCCCTGGGGAATATATAGTCTATTGCCATACCATGCTAAACCATTCCGGTTTGTAAGTAACCCGGGATTATTCAACAACCAAGGATCTTGTAATAAAGCTGTTCTCACCTCATCCTCAAACGATGTCGTTTTCGCGCAGGAATCTACATGCAGATCTCCGACGCTATAAGGGGGCATAATGGCCTGGACCACCTCCTCCCTCGTACTATCAGATTGCGGTAGGCGAGAGAGGGCATCCGCTAGGAAATTTCTCCCCCCTGGAACGACTTTAAGTTGGAATCGGAAACGTTGGAAATATTGCACCCAACGCACGTGGTTAGGAGACAACCGCCCAGGCGTTTGTAGAACTGCTAGATTCTGGTGGTCTGTCCACACTTCAAAGAGATGTTGTGCCCACTCCAGTAAATGGCGCCAGGTGGATAAGGCCCATCTAACTTACTGCAAGAACGTCCTGGTAGTGCTTCACAAAAGCCAAGAAACAGGAACGTTGAACAATCAACAAGTTTAATGCACTGTGTTGACATTAAGTTAGCACTGGAAGTAACCTCCTTCCAGTGCCTTAAATACAGCCACCTACCACGCCCAGAGCACACACCCCAATTACCACCCATGACCATACTCCACCCTCGCCTAGCCCAACCCCAGTTGATAACCCACACCCCACCAATAACCTAATTAACAATGCTGCGCTCTCCTGCCCCAGTCCACGCCCCACACATAGAAGTGAAATGAACAAAGCCGGCACCACTCTGCTCTACCGTCCAGTCCTCTGCTCCAACGTCCACTAATGACAGACCCAGCGACACTTGGAAGTCCAATAAACATAAGTACGAAGCAGCCTCCCCTCCGTTCGCCGCGTTTCGTCCGTGCTGTTGTTACTAGCCCTCTAAGTATATCAATTACTAGCCATCCTAGCTGGTCACGTGGGCTCATCAGCTGCCGCTCTAGGAATCGTGGTTTCCCATCTCGGTGGTTGCAATAGCAGTGCAAAACACGGAGCTGCCGCTCTAGGAATCCCGGTTGCCCATCTCGGTGGTTGCAATGGCGGCGCAAAACGCGGACCCGCCGGATCAGCTGTTGGGGCCTCTCCAATGTTGCCATTGTGTGAGCCGGTAACGGGGCTACTGGAGGGTGGGTGGTGCGCTGGGTCTGACAGAAAGTTTTACCAACGATGCTTTTTTTGTTTCAGATTCCAGAGTCCAGCTAGACATAACAACACTAAAACGTAGCATGAGAATCAAGGTTATTGAGCCAGAGCTGATAAAGAATTGGCGGGCTGGAGAGCTGGAGAAGAACCCCACACTTCAAGCTAATTGGGGAATGTGATTTATGACTGTTAATTGGAGGAGGGAGGGAATTGTGCTTTGATACTATGTGCCGGGGGGGGGGGAATTCAGTTTTTGGCTTCGATTATGTAAGTGCCGGTATTATGCTACTCGAATAAAAGATCCTTTAAGGTAAACAATGCCTCAAAGTTCCTTTGAAGAGTTTCATCTGTCGGAACCATGACAGGGGGTGTAAATCGGACGTAAGTTACTTTTTTCAGTGCTGTTGTAACTTTGAACGGTCACTAAGCAAACTGCTGTAAGTCGGGGAATACCTATATACGCAAATAGAAATTCATAAAGTGGAAAGGTGATTGGGGAAAAAGGAAGGGAAGAAAAAAAAGAGCTGGGAATGCTGATGGTGGCCCTTGGGGAGGGGGCTGAGCTGTGCCCTGGGGAGGATCATGGTTTCCTTGCCCCCCCCTTTGGAAGCTACTCTGGCATTCCCTTGTGTCTTCTCTGGTTGCCACACCTGTTGCAAAATGGCCTGTGGGAGAGAACTGGAGAGTCCAATCTCGGCATTCTTCAAATCAGCAGGAAGAGAAGAGCAGTCACAACAGTGGTGACAAGGCCCCAGCAAAGTCAGTGAAAGCATTGCCTGCAGGAGTGCAAGCTGGCCACATGGATTTACAGAAGACAATAACAGAGTTGGAAGAGACCTTGGAGGTCTTCTAGTCCAACCCTCTATAGAAACAGGGGGCGCTATACCATTCCCGACAAATGGTTGTCCAATCTCTTCTTGAAAACCTCCAGTGATGGAGCACCCCCACTAAACTTCTGGAAGCAAGCTATTCCATTGATTAATTTGTTCTGACTGTCAGGAAATTTCTCCTTAGTTCTAGGTTGCTTCTCTGCTTTTTAGTTTCTATCCGTTGCTTCTTGTCCTGCCTTCTGGTGCTTTGGAAAATAGATTTACCCCCTCTTCTTTGTGGCAGCCCCTCAAATAATGGAACACTGTCTCAAGGATGAAACTTTGGCAGCT